ATGTGTGTCCTTGTATGTATTTTGATACCTCATCTGTTTATTACTATAATCTATTAAAAGTTAACTAGTTTAGCATAAGAGTTAAACAGAGGGACGTGACACACACTGTTGGGGGTTGAAGCTGATCTCCTTGGGCAAATTTTGTAGCCTCTCTGTGCCTTAGTTCCATCTTCTGTGACTGCCCCCGGGCCCCTCATCACAGCTGATTTCCTAGAATACAAGTTGGGAGGGAGGCTGCTGTAGGGAGTGAGAAGTGGCAAATGCCAGGGACACTGAAGAGGGAGCAAAAACAGATTATAGCCCATAAACTGAGTACAAACAAATACCCTCAAAAGAGAAAGAATCTCAGTCTTTTGAGCCACTTACCATAAGGGAAACAAAACCACGTGGACCCAAACTTCTTGAGCATGAGAGTATTGTGGGTGGAAATGTGTCATCAGAAAAGAGTTGAGAAAAGGCCTTTTGGTTTCCCTTGATGTTTCTGGTAAGGATGGACCGCAGAAGGGAAAACCCCCAGCTTCCAAGTGAAAGCTGCTGTTTTGTGTGAAACTGACCAAAGGTTGGAAACCAGTCATCAGCGGTGCTGCTGGGTAGGGGCTCGGAGATGATTGGTGACCCAGGCATAACCCCGGGTTCTGAAGCTGCTTATCTGACTAGCAGAACTGGGCACAAGGAGTCTTAATGAGGCAGCTCGGGATGTGGCCTGGGACACCTGCCATGCTGAGGGCGAGAGGAGCGCTTCCCTGAGGGGGTTTCCCTGCGGAGAGTGGGAAAATCCACCTGCAGGGATGGAAGAACCTTTGAGCAGGGGGCGCATGCACAGACATGATTGTCCTGAGCATGGAGGTTTCGGGGAGCCAGAAGTCATACAATGGCCGGAGCAGCCTTGTTCCTGAGAAACTGGAGGGAAAAGATGCTGAAAAGGCAGGCTGTGGACAGACTTTGTGGTGGGTCATGAGTGACAGTCAAGGACTGGTCAGGCAGGCAAGAGAAAACCCTGTGGGAGTCCCACCTGAGACATCACGCAGGAGGGAGGAGCAGAGTTATAGACTATGCCACTTATTAGCTGTGTGACTTTGAGCAAGATCACGCCACCTCTCTATATGTATCTTCATCTGTAAAGTGACAGAGTAACAAGCTCGTGTCAGCAGAAGGCTTAGTTTAGCTCTGATCCTCTGTGTCCAGTCCTGTCAGTGTTGCCCTGCAAGGTTCTGCAGTGGCTGCTCTTACCCTGAGTTGGGAGGGCGTAGAGGGACATTGTAGCACATGAGGGCAGGAGGGGGGTGCTTTAAAAACAGACATGTAGCCGCCTGCAGCTGCAGACCTGCAGGCAGTTTGGTTGATGGTCGTCATGGAGAGGACTTTGGAGGCCTTAGCATCATCTTAAGACTTGCTTTCCCTTGGGGACCGGAATTGCCTTTGCAGATTAATGTTGAAGATTTGGGCTTCTGGCAAAGCTGTTTTCAGAGATGGGTATATACATAACATATCGTATAAAATAAAATGCTTTTATATAATGTGTGGGACTTTGTAGCTGTTGGAACAGTTCTGTTGACCCTGTCTCCATGGAGGACACTAGGGGTCAGCAGAGCGTGCGGGAGGGCAGGCAGCCCGCAGGGCTGCTGCGGGGGGTTCTCCCCAGTAGGGCGCTCTGCTGAGTTGACTCTTCTCTGAGTTTGGTTGCCAGATGAGCAAACAGCAATTTACTGAGTTCTGGTGGGATTGTATAATGACAGGAAGAAAGAGGGACCCGTAGTTTTCTGGACTAGGACACGCATTTTGTTCTTAATCCAGTGTGTTTCATTGCAGATTTGATGTGTTGTGTCTGTTCTGAATCTGATTTGGGCTAATCTTTATATTTGGAAAGGAACCGAGATGGAATTATTTCAGGCACCTTGTGCTTTAATAAGTCCTGTGAAAACATAAACACAGATGAAGCATACATTTGAATTTAGTGGTGAAGGGAAGGGTTTCTGCACATTGCAGGGGAAGGCAAGGCAGAATTCCTCTTCTTTGTGGGCAGGGAATTGGGTCCACCTGTTTTTTCTGTAACGGTTTCTGACAGCAGTTTATGGTAATTAACCAGCATTGACAAATGGTGGCACACATTGCATTTAAGAGCTGGCCGGCTGCAAACTTATATATTGGACAGGCGGATTTCACAGACAAGTGATCAGGTAGATGGGAGAGAGAAGGAGCACAGGCATGGGCACCCCAGCTTCAGGTTTAAATTGCCATTTCTGCACCATAGGAACTTGGACTAGAATGTAACCTCACATAGCCTGTTGGTGAATCAGTTAAATGGGCATGACAATATTCACTTCTTCCTGGGTTTGTTGTAAGTTGTGTCGACTGAAATAAATGTGCAGCCCAAAAGTTATCAGTTAAGTTTTATTTGGCGGGAGGACTCGAGCCAGGATGACAGCCTCTCACATTGCTTTGAGGGACTGCTCCAAAGAGTTAGGGGAGGAGCTAAGATATATAGGAGCTTTACAACAAAGACCAGGTAGTTGGAACAATAAAAGATTGCTTGTTATCTAAAAAAAACGAGATATCTCAAGTTTAAGAATTTATTGCTTTTGTATTTTTGGGAGGAAGCAAACATTTGGGCTCACTGAATTCATTCCTTTGACAAGCACCTAGCTATCTAGGGCCAGTATCCTGTCCTTTCTTATACTGAGTCCACTCAGAGGGCACCATTGTGAGTGACTGCAGAGGCTGGGCTGCAGGCCTGTCCTCCCTGGGGGGTGGCAGCAGCCGCTGAGAGGTTGGTTTCAGCATTCTTTGTTTACTGACATGGCTGCAGTATTTTCATTCACATTGTAGTACTTTCATTCACAGTGCTCCGCCTTGGTCCTAAATTCGACCAATATTTTGAGAGACATTTCATGACCAATTTTGTCCCAAGGTGCTAGGATGGCACATTCCTAATTCAGGTGAAGAATCTTCTGAGCTGCCATTCAAGGTGTTAGGTGATTTATCAGGCCCTGTTGATACTAAAAGTTCTCTGGAT